GATGTGTAGCTAAAAACGTTGCTTGTTAACCAAAGAGGTATTCTGAGAGAGAGAGAAGTGCTCTGGAAAAGGGGCAGAAAGTAGCTGCTGTTTTCTCAGCTCAGCTCCTTGGTTTGCCACGCTTCCCCATTTTTGCTTTGTTGGAGATGGTGGTCAATTCTGCACACCTGTGTTAGGAATTGGCTCCTATCCCTTAGTGAGACTGCAGTACCAGGTTTCTCTGTAGCGTAGTTGTTCTGCCTTCTGTTAGACTAAGCTTGGTTTAATTCTCAGAGTAACTTTTACGCTTGTTTGAGGAATTCTTTGGTAACTTCTAAAAATATATGGACAGGTGGTATTCAAAGTGAAATTTGAAAACCTTTGTGTGTAGGAATATCTGCAGTTGTGTTGTTCTGGAGCTAGTAGTGGTCAGTCTTACCACTTCTGTGTTGAGAGTTGTGCATTTATTTAGTGTATGTATCTATGTTACAGTGTGAAACTAAGATTCTTAGGGACAGCATGTGCTTATTAATGGCAGCGCAGTAGACCCTGCATCTTGAACGGGGCCCACAGCTCACAGGAAAGTAATTGGTCAGAACTCACTCAGAGTAGTGTCAGTAAAACTCAGTGGAGGTCTGTGCCATTGGTTTTGCACGTGTTTTTTTCTCTCCTCAACTTGTCCTAGATTGTTGGCAACTTACTCTATCACCGCTACGTGAATCCGGCCACGGTTGCACCGGATGCATTTGACCTAATGGATCTTTCAGCTGGAGGGCAGCTGACTACAGATGAACGAAGAAACCTTGGTTCTGTTGCAAAGATGCTGCAGCATGCTGCGTCCAGTAAGATGCTCATGGGAGACAGTGCACATCTGAGCATTGTGAAGGAATACTTGTCACAGTCATCCCAGAAATTCAGGTAGAAGACTTCAGCTGATTGTGTTGAGGAGTTTGGCAGAGGACAGTGTTGCAAACAAAGAGGAGTGATGAATTTTAAATGTAATAAATTCCATCTCTGTCCAAAAGGAAGTCTGTTGAAAATGAGAGATTGCCCTTTGGGCTTCCACAATCATGCAGCCTATCAGTAGCTGAAGGGAACCTACACCCAGGAGGGGAGTAAACTCTTCAGAAGGGCTGACAATAGCAGGACTAGGGGAAATGGATCCAAGTTGAGGGAGTGAAGATTTAGGTTGGATGTTAGGGGGAAGTTCTTTACAAGGAGAGTGGTTAGGCCCTGGAACGGGCTGCCCAGGGAGGTTGTGGATGCTCCGTCCTTGGACGTGTTCAAGGCCAGGTTGGACGGGGTCCTGGGCAACCTGATATGAATGTATATGTTTGGTGGCCCTGCTAGGCAGGGGTTTGGAACTACATGATCCTTGAGGTCCCTTCCAACCCGGGTGATTCTGTGATTCTGTGAATCATTGATCATAATGACATATAAAATACGTAGCTGGAATTTACAAACTAGATATAGTATATTAATGAGCTGGTCAAAACAATTGGCTTTGCCATACAAGCCTCCAGAGTAAAGGCTGTTTTTCTATGTGTTTATTATGATATTCTGGCCATTGAAGACTGGAGTGTGCATGCGTTCTTTCCTATATGCACCCTAGTTCTCTGTATGCAAACTAGATGGCACTTGGATTAAACCAGGCTGGAATTTAGTTGTTTGTATAATAAAGTAACTTTTGAATGAAGAGCTTATTTCTATCTTTCATCTTTTGTAAGAAAGAAAACTGGAAATGGCTGGGAGTGAGGATTATTCTTGCAGCTAAGACAGAAGGATGGGTGCACAAGGTCATTCGGTCCATAGACTTGTCCTGCAGATGCTTACAGTGAGCGAATGCCGACATGGCCAGTACCAATAACTGAATCTTCTAGATGGCTTTTGATGTGATAAGCTATAGCTTGTTCAATTGTAGTATGCTTGGGAACCATGGTTTAAAGAAGAACAGCTGCTGGGATGCTGATTACCTTTTTCTCCTTTTTCTTTTTTTTTTTTTTTTTTTTTTTTTAAGACGCTTTTTTCAGGTTGCTTGTGAGGTTCCTGAATTGCAGGATGAATTCAGTATTGATGAATATTCTGGCTTCCTTCCTTGTCTATCCCTTCTGCAGAACTTACAGGCATCAATCTCAACGCTCCAGTCATGGGAGCAGTCCCACCATGTTTCAGTAACAGCAGCTAGATCGTAGTTAGCCTGGTGCACGATGGCTTCCAGTTCCTCCTGCTTGTTGCTCATGCTGCGTGCATTGGTATAGATGCACTTGAGCCGAGTCATTTGCCTGACTCCCAGCTCTAAAATCGTTCCCCCAGGCTCTTCTCTTGTGAGGCCTGTACTGTCCCCTTCCCCCGTCATAATTAGTTTATTGCACAGGAAGAAAAGCTTGATGTCTGTGCCAAGGGAGACGTACACCGCACTTGCGCTGCCTGGACGATGTGGAAACTGGAAATTCTGGGGTGTGCTGAAGCGTGCCCTCTCAGGTCAGTCTAAGCATACATAGAGTAGACCTGTCGAACAAAACAGGGAATAGACAGTTAAACCCATTCTGTTGGGAAATACTCTCTCCTTCTAAGTACCTTTAGAACGTGAGTTTCTTCAATTAATTACTCAACTCATTTCCTTTTCCTGAATGATCCCAAGTTCTTTTCTCAGGCTACATCTGCACTCTGCTCAGTCCAAGGAGAAATCCCTGCCCGCAGATGCAATGACACAGCATGGCTCACAACCTCATTTTTCATTGCTTACTCTTATGGTAACTGCCATCCATGTCCACCCTGCGTATTCTTAGAGCTCTTCTGGAGTCCATGGGGCAGACTTATGGTTGAACTGAAGGGAATTTTTTCATATTGCTCTAGCTCCAGATGATTATCCCTAGTATCATTATATTATATTAAAAAAAAAAAAAAAAAAGGCGTTTGAAGTAGTGTGATACGTATTCTGTGCCTCAGAATGTGGCACGTGTGGCATGAGAGAGTTTAGAGGCCACGAGGACTGCCCAGACAGCGTGAGAACTGTAAGAGCAGAGAGCTATAGGTGATGCAGCGCTGTTTGTGCCACCCGCAGGAAGCGGTAGCTGGAACAAAATATGGCCAGAAGAGTGATCAGATTGCGTTTGGTAAGGAACTATTTCATTAGTTGTGGAATTTTGACAAAATGTATATTCAGGATGATGATCAGCATGCCAGGTGCTGGGACCATGCCGAAAGAGAAATGGTCTGAAAACGTCGGTGCAATTTGCAATATATCCCCTTCCACAAAGCCCTCAGATCCATGCTGCAACTGCATCCAAAGCAACCCAGAGCCCTGTGCTTGTTGTACCCGGAGCTATCGGTGCCAGGAGTTGCTGCTGTGTTTGCAAGGACGTTGTGTCAGCAGTGTGCCATCAGTGGGGTTGTTTGATGGCAATGAAACAGCTGAATGGTGTACCTCAAGACTAAGAAAAAAGACGGTAGTCGAGACTGTGTTTCTAGGTATACATAGCTTGATAGAGATCTATAGGACTCCAGTGTGGATTGTACATAGGCCCTGCGCTGCAAGGTACGCTGTTGGGAAGCAATGTCCATCTGCCCGAGGGCAGGAAGGCCCTGCAGAGGGACGGCCTGAGGCCAGTCGTACCAGGCTGCACAGCTGAGGCCAGTCGTACGAGGCTGCACAGGAGCAAGCGCTGGGTCCTGCGCTGTGGTCATGACAACCGCATGGCAGCTTCTGCAGGATTGGGCTGAGGTAGAATTCCAACCGCCCGCTGATTCTAGAATGTTGGGTGCCGTGTTGGAATCTTCTGGTCCTGTGACATGGTCTTGCCTCCCCACCCTGTTGTCATGGCGGAGCAGCCTGGTGGCCCTTAGTGATGTCACAAGCGGCTGGAATGAGGGGAGGAGCAGTGCGTGCTGCGTCCCTTCATTGGAGCGCTTGAGCTCTGCGTGAGTAGCTCGCTTGTTGCCCTTGTGCAGCGACTGAGTGCCTTCGTTTTCACCCCTTGTGTCTTGCGCAGCATCTTGTAGGTAAGCTGAGACAGGGCGTGAGATACAGGGGTGGGCAGTGAGGTGTTGAGAGCTGCTGGCTGGTGGAGCTCCTAGCAGCTCATACTGCTTACTCTTGTCCATCAGATGTAATTTTCAGCCAGTACCTGCATTCCCAAGCGATCCACAAAGATGGCATTTGTCCCATGGTTTTTCCCTTGTCATCTTTGCTACATTATGCAAGCTCACAGACCTGTTCCTTCTCTCTCCTCTACCCGCTCCCTTGGTGCAGCTTTCGCTCGTGGAAGAACAGAGCAAAGTGACAAGAAACAGCTGCGAGTTCAAGGAATTGTCTACCTTGTTCTGATCTCCTGCCAGGTACGTGCCACGCTTTGTCCCCCCACGTTTTTGACCAGCACTGTGTCACACCATGTTTGGTAACACAGCCTCACTCAGCTTTGATGGGACACTGGTCCCGTGTGGGTTTTTTCCCTTCCCCTGCAGCTCCGTCCTCAGAAGGATGCTGTGTGTGGTGCTGTGACCAGCTGGTCTGAAGGAAACCGATCCCTTAGGCAAAGAGTCCTAGGCCCAGTTTGTGCCGAGCTGCACAGCGTGACCCAAGGTCACAAGCACGCACGCTTGGGCTGTGTGAGTGTGCGCGGCAGCTGTAGGGAGCACAGCAGAGATGCAATCAAGGAAATGTCCTTGATGTGCGGGGCTGCAGCAGGTGCCGGTGGTGAGGCTGCTGGGAGCCGTGGCCGGGGAGCAGATGCACCTGCAGCAATGATTGCTCTCACTGCCCTGCTGCTGCGCTGTCAGAGCGCCCTGGGCGAATGCATCTGCTGCTTTGTGCCAGTCCCCATCTGCTAGCAGAGGGACAGCTGCTTGGTCAAATGCTGCCTAATGGGCTGTCCCATTTGAACGGAGTGAACAGAGTGGTTGCTTCTAGAGCACCTGCCTGTGCCAGAGGATAGCCAAGGGTAGTTCTCCGGTAGTCTCTCAATACTGTGGTATGTGAAGAGAGAAAATATGAGCGTGTTTCTCTTCAGTTCCAGCTTGTCGTGCCTGCTGTGATGGGCGTCGCGTGCAGCGAGATCAGCTGTGGGCCTGACATGACACGGATGGAGGTAGAGTACGGAGCTCTGATTGGTCTTTGTTCCCTGATTTGAGCCAGCAGAGTGAGCCGCAGATGTGCTCTCCTGCTTTTCAAGAGAGAGCGAATCCTTGCGGCTCTATCAGTGTCACTGAAAAGCTGCCTTAAAGGCTTTCTTTCCTTGCTGCGGGCATGTTCTTAGCCTTGCCGTTCCTTCTTGTGTGCCCATGATAAGGACCGAGTGCATTTCCTGCAGCTTTCTCTGCTGACGTGCTCCTCAGCCTGAAATCCTCCTCGTTTGCCCTCAGCTCCTCACCATGGCCTGTGCTCTCTGTTTCAGGCTGAGAACAACGGGAAGCCCCTGCTGGTCCGTGAGGAGTCATCTCTTAATATCCCAGCTATTGCTGCTGCCCACGTTATTAAGAGATACGTTGCCCAGGCACCGGGTGAACTCTCCTTGGAGGTAAGCAGTTAAGGGCGTTCCTTGTTGTCCTGTACAGAAGAGTATAACATGTGAAGCTATCAGGAATATTCTCAGACACCTTCAGAATGTTTGGTGAGGTGAAGCCCAGCAGATGCGGTTCCAGATGAGACTTGCACTGGGTTGGATGCAGGGAGGAGTTCAGCCATCTCTAAACTATGGCTCTATTTGGCATTGGAATCTTGTGATCAAAGAGCTACTGCCCAGTGTGGTAGCCTGGTCTCTGAGCAATGGCAGAGCAGTGTATGGAGTGTGCAGATCTGCTCAGGATCTGTTCCGCTGACTTATGCCTGCGGTTTAATTGGAGCTCTCCCTTTGGCAAAGAGCCTGCTGCTTTTGAGAACCATTTCCTACTGAACAGCTGAATTCTGTATGTTGTGTATTGTAGTGACTCTTCTACCTCCACGTTCGGTTGTACCACTGCAAATGCCTGAAGAGCTGCACTGGTGCAATGGCTCTCAAGCTTGACGATATTGGGCAGTGCAGAAGAATGCAGTCATTTGAGCTGCGCTTTCCTCCCAGCCGTGCTGAAGCTGGGATTGACGTTGCAATCTCTTGCAGGTGGGAGACCTCGTGTGCGTCATCGATATGCCGCCTCAGGAGCTGAGCCCCCGCTGGAGAGGCAAGCACGGCTTTCAGGTAGGCACAAGCTTCAGACGTGAGAGCGCAGCTTTGGTCGAGGCAGGAATCTCAGCTTAGAGCTGCCCTGCCTGCACAGCATGGCTCCACATGGAAAATAGTTTCCTTGTGCTGGTGTCAGAGGACTTTGCCTTTTGCTGTGGGCTTAGGCCAGAGCTGAAAGTTGGTCTTTGTAGGAAACTGCCTCCTCAATTAACTTAGAAAGAAGAGCCCTCACAACATGCATCAGGTCACGGCCACTGAACCGCACCTTTGGAAATGCAGCAGCTAGGAGACGTGTTTCAGTGTCTCTGAGCTCTTGTGCTTGCAGCCATGCAGAAGGTGAAGTCAGTGTCTTTTAGGAAGTCGCTGCCTGTCAGCTGAGATGAGGCAGGGTAACAGAGCCTCTGTGTGCTTGCTGCTGCTGCTGGCTGCAGAACGCTGGGTAGCTCAGAGCTGGGGATGGCAGCTGCATCTCAGTCAGCAAGCAGAAAGTTCATAGGCTGTGCAAACTCAGATCTAGCTGCATCAATCTATCATAATATATATCTTCTGTATGAAGTCTTTCCCTTTGGGCACACTTGATATTTAGGGGTGCATAGCATACTTGTCCTTTCCCCACTCCATACACAGTTTTATGGATATTTGCCTGCCAATTTGGAATAATTATTAATTTTAGGCAGGCCATTTTTTTGTTGGATTGTCTTACGGAGCATCCGGCAGGCACGTTATGAGGAAAATGTGATGTTTGAACAGTTCAGGCCTGAGAAACGCTGCCTTCAGTATCACACCTGTCTTCTTCTTGTTACAGGTTGGATTTTTCCCTGGGGAGTGTGTGGAGCTCATTAACGGAAAAATCCCGGAGTCTCTCATCAATTCAGTGCCAAAGCCAGGTACGGATGATACATTTGGTGGTGCAGGGAAGCAAAATGGAGTCTTTTTTGGGTGTGTTGCGTGTTTAATACCTCCCTTATCCTTCCCACGTTATCCTCTGCGCTGATGATCCTTCATGCATAGCACGGGGCGTATGGCTGGTGTTTTG